TCTCAAACTCATATCTGGTCAAACCTTTAAATAGTTAGGTCCACAACGAAAATCTCCTCTCGATTCCCTCCTTGAACGAGAGATCCACTATCAAGTTGAACGATTAAACCTTTAAACAGTTAGGATCATCTCAAACTCATATATGGTCAAACCTTTAAATAGCTAGGACCACAGCCAAAATCTCCTCTCGATTCCTTACATGAACGATAGGTCTACTTTCAAATCGAGCGATCAAACCTTCCTATAGTTAGGATCGTCTCAAACCTCCCACTCGGTCAAACCTTCCTACAGTTAGGATCACAACCAAAATCTCCTCTCGACTCCTTCCATGAATGAGAGGTCCACTTTTAAATCAAACGATCAAACCTTCCTACAGTTAGGGTCGTCTCAAACCTCCCACTTGGCCAAACCTTCCTACGGTTAGGGCTAAAACTAGAGTTTCCTTTCGATAAACAAGAAATCCACCTTTAGATTGGGTAATCAAAACTTCCTACAGTTAGATCCCACTCTTAGTTTCACTCCTTAGATTCTCGAAGTGAAGATCCTACTTTGAGTTTCTTTTACAACTGAAAATAGAATATAAAATTCTTCTTTTCCAGTATCGGGTTCGTCTTTGCCCCAAGAGAAGACACCGCTTTTTAAATCCTAAAATCCATACTTCACATGAGCGGGGAATTTTATCCCGAAGCCTAAGTAGGGATAAGTCAGCGCCTAACACGCGTTACCGGTTAGTCTTTTGTCGTAAAAAGGACAAAAGCCCACATATTCGACATTATGGTAGGTTGTTATTAATAACTCCATAATTCATACCTTATACACATGGGGAATTTTATCCCAAATCCTAAGTAGGGATAAGCTAAAGCCTAACACGCGTTGCCGGTTTAGTCTTTATCAAGTAAAAAAGATACCAGAATCCAAGTCTAGGAACTTTTATCCCGGATCCTAAGAAGGGATAAGTCAGTGCCTAACATGCGTTGTCGGGTAGTCTATTCCCGTAAGAAAAATGAAGTCTACGTATTCAATATCATAACACTGTTAACTCTTTTAGCACAATGTTATATGCAGAACGGACTTAAATAATCTGCATGCTAGCCCGACTCAAACGATAGTCGGTAAAGACTCATCAAACCCGTTGATGGCTAAGGGTTTGCCAAAATCCTATAAGTGTGAGAGTCATTGATGCACCAGCTCCATTAGTTGGTCTCGTGACTTGAGGATCCAACAACTTTAGGATAAAATCCATACATGCAGATGCCAGCTCCATTAGTTGGTCTCGTGACTTGAGGATCCAACAACTTTAGGATAAAATCCATACATGCAGATGAATCAGCTTTAACAGTTGGTCCTGCAGCCAGGATCCAACAACTTTAGGATAAAATCCATACATGCAGATGAATCAGCTTTAACAGTTGGTCCTGCAGCCTAATATTTGGGGCCGCCACGCTCCAATATCTTAAGAGCTTAAACTATGTAGACTCTAGTAAACGTACGAGTATAAACTATGTTAACGCCGGTCAACGCATCAATAATTTCGCCAAAATATGGCTAAGGAAAAATTCTAGGTCAAAGGATGATTCCAGGGAGTTCAATCACATTCAGATACTAACTCCTGACAAAGACGATCTGTTCAACGTTAACTCAATGACAAGAGTTAAGTTCATAAATTTACACACCAACTCCAGTTCAAGATTTCAACAACGGTCAGACGATAAACGCAGCACCGGAAGAACTTCATCTATTCGACAAAATACTGAGTAGATTGAAGATTAAAGAAATAAAGAATTAAAGCCATTTACAGGTCCTTCTACGTGATCCCCTCGATAAAATACTGAAGAGGTTGAAGACATGGCCTATCTTATCCAAAGCATTCCAGACTCCTATATAAAAGAATGAGTCTGAAACACTTTGAAGGAGGTATTTGTAGGCGTCTAAAAATACCTATAGGTATCCGAATACAACTCGAGACGAAGAGAAGACGATGAATGTCATTATCTAAGTCGGAGAGGATTATCCGAGTCAAACGGGATCATTTAAGACCATAGGGAAGCTAACGAGTGTATAAAGCAAGTCAGCAAGGTGTACAAATCAACAAAACACACAAAATGGAGTAAAATACAAGTTTGGGAAAGTCAGAAAACACCGAAATCCTTTAAAGAGACTCACACGGGCGGATCACCCCGAGGTGACCCGCGCCCGTGCGGGTCACCAAGAGGTGACCTGCACACAGCCGGGTCACCCAAAGGTGAACCACGCTAGTGCAGGTCACCAAGAGGTGACCCGCACATAGCCGGGTCACACAGAGGTGACCTGATCCCGTGTGGGTCACTAAGAGGTGACCTGCACACAGCCGGGTCACCCCAAGGTGGCCTATGCCCGTGCGGGTCACCAGTGTCTACCCCGTACAGTTAGTGCCCGAAACGTGTTTTTAACGGGTTTGTTTATATTTCTCGGGATTTGTTCATTCTAAAACATCCCAACTCACTTGATATCATATCCAAATATGGTTAGGCCGTTTTTAACTGAAGATATGGCCAAACCCCTCATTCTCATTCAAATAACCGCATCCAAGGCTCTATAAATACAAACATAGGGCTCCCATTCACAAGAGGCGAATTTTAATCAAGAGGAGGAGGTGTTGCCGAACTTCAGAGCTAAGAGCTATGAATTTTAGAGAGGAGGAATAGATCTTGGTGAGTTCTTCGGCATAAAAAAGGAGAGTTTGAGAGATCTGAGGCCCCGTACCCTCATTCCTTGAGATTAGGCTTGGTCTTAATCTTGAGAAGAGTATTGATTTCGCTTGGTCGAGATCAATACTTCAGCGATTGCTTCCTTCATGAAGTGAGAGCTCTAATCAATAATTCTATTAACCGAATCCGATCCGTAGGTGGTCCACAGATAAACCCTAGCACATGCAAAGATCCCACGCAAGCAACATGAGATAAATTGCTATTGTGTGTTGTTTGAAGGAATTATAATCTTTATATTTTCATTGTGTAAGAAGATATTATAAAAGATCAACTTTTATTTATTTGAGTTTATTGTAATAACTGAAGCTGTAATAGATTCAAGATAATGAAAATAGCAATTTCTAAATGAAACAATCTTATTGATAAATGTCATAAGAGACCACCTCGTCCAACACTTGAGAAGACTCGATCTCCATTTGCTGCTTCAGCTGATGTTAACCCTACTCCTCAAGAGCCGCATACTTCTAGCCATCTCTCTTCTGAGCAGTTGTCAGAGATTACTATATTAATAACCAAGAATTTTAGGCTAAGTGGAGCTGCCTCTAGCTCTTGTCTGCTCATTTTGGTACTTCTACTCATTGGATATTCGACACAAGTGCATCTCATCATATGACCTTTGATAACTCTATTATTACAAATTGTTCACCTGCTCCCTCTTAATTATGCATTTATATTGCTAATGTCACTCCCCTTCTAGTCTCTCAATTAGGTGATATTACTCCAAATTCTGATAGTTATGATCGTCTAACATTATTGCTTGTTCTTCATATTCTCAAATTATCTATGCAACTTTTATCCATTAGGAAAATTGCAGATTCCGGTTGCACTATCTTATTTAATGCTAAATCTTGTGTTATCCAGGATTACACTGGCCAGAAGATTGGGATAGTTCGTAGAGTTAATGGACTTTATCAGTTGGAGTTTCTACATCTTATCACTCCATCCGACATTGGTCATGAGCTCTCTGTTTTTAATCTATGGCACCATCGCTTGGGTCATATCTCTAGTTCTTACTTAAAACATTTATTTGAATCAGATATATTAGAAAATTTAAAATTCTCTACTTTATCAAACTATACTGGGTGTCGATTAGCTAAACAAATTGCTCTACCACTTTCATCCAGTAATAAAATTGCTTTAGCCCTAATTGATTTGATTCATTTTGATATCTGGGGACCTGCCCCACTACCATCATTGTCCGGTTATCGGTATTATGTTAGTTTTATTGATGACTATTCCCGCTACACCTAGGTATATCTCATGCATGTTCGTTCTGATATTTTAAATATTTATAAAGACTTTACAAATATGATTCATACCCAGTTTCATAAACGTATAAATATATTTCGCTCTGATGGTGCCAGTGAATATATTCTTCGACAATGTAATCTATTTGAAAATCACACGGCAGCCTCTCTCAGCAATATTGTCCACACACTCATGAACAAAATGGTGTTGCTGAGAGAAAACATCATCACATTCTCGACACCACTAGAGCTCTTCTGATATCAGCACCTGTACCTTGATATCTCTGGGCAGAAGCACTTATGATTGCTGTTTATCTTTTCAATATTACTCCATCTTCTGTATTAGCTGACACCTCTCTATATTTTCAAGTTTTCAAGTCTTAGTTTCGCTATTCTCTTCTTCTCACTTTTGGATGTGTCTGCTTTGTCCTACTTTCAACTCATGAACGTGATAAATTATCTCCACCCACTGTACAATTTATCTTTCTTGGCTATAGCACCGTTCACAAGGGGTGTTGTTGTTATGAACCTACCACTCGAAGGCTTTGTATTGCCCGTCATGTGACCATATTTGAAAATATTTCCTATTATACTACCTAAGATTCAGATCTCTCCTTTTTTCAACCCCTACATTACCTTCCACTACTAAACCCGTGTCAGTGGCACCTGTACCTTCGTCTGCTCAACCGACTCCCTTCTTCACTCCAATGGCATCAAACGATAGTGCTCATGATTAAACCACACCTCGTGGACATCCGCCTACTACATCCCCTTTACTATAAGATATTCCTACTGATGTCTCCTCTACAACTGTGCCAGATTCTCCCGATGTGACTCCTCCTCCTCACCGCAATCCTCCAGGAGATCGTCACCCCCTGCTCGGTTTGCTTAATGTGTCACTAGCACATATTCTCCTGAGTTTGTCTCTTTTCTTGCTTCTATTCACTCTATACATGAACCTAACTCATATTTTGAGGCAGTTAAGTATCTAGAATGGCAATAAGTCATGACGGAAGAGTTGGAGGCTTTTCGTCGGACTAATACTTGGGACCTTGCTCCTTTGCCTTTTGGTGTTAAACCGGTAAGCTACAAATAGATTTATAAGGTCAAGACTTGATCTAACGGTTCTATTGAGCGATATAAAGCTCGTCTTGTGGCTCGGCGATTCTTACAAGAGTATGGTATTGACTATGAAGAGACTTTTGCTCCTGTTACAAAAATAACATCCATTCACACTCTCATTGCTGTTGCAGCTGCGAAATATTAGTCTTTATATCAAATGGATGTTAAAAATACTTTTCTTAATGGTGATCTATTTGAGACAATGTACATGTACCACCTCCTGGTTTTTCTGCTCCTCTAGGACATGTCTGTCGCCTTCGTCGTGCTATATTTGGTCTCAAACAGGCTCCTTAGTCTTGGTTTGAGCATTTTCGACAATCGCTTCTTTCTATTGGTTTCATTGAAAGCCTAGCTGACTACGCTCAATTTTATCGGTCCTCAATCTCAGGTACATTCATTTTATTACTTTATGTTGATGACATGATAATCACTGGGAGTAATTCCTCTGTCATTACTTCCTTAAAGCAACATCTTAAGAGACAATTTAAGATGAAGGATCTTAGATCTCTTCATTACTTTTTGGGTATTGAGGTTGCTTCCTCCTCTCGTGACAATCTTCTCTCTTAGCAGAAGTACATTCCAGACATTCTTGAGCGTGCTACTCTCAGTGATCCTTCCATTGCTACTACTCTTCTCTCCACATTGATGGAAATGAACTTGAAACTTTGCCATGATGATGGTGATCCCTTATCTCAGCCTACTCGAGATCAAAAACTTGTCGGAGCATTGGTTTATCTTCCAGCAACACGTTCGGATCGCTATGCAGTACACATCTTGAGCCAGTTTGTCAGTAGTTTAACTTTCATTCACTATGCAGCTCTTATTTGGGTTCTTCGATATCTCCGTGGCACTATAACCCAATCATTATTTTTCCCTTCAGACTCTTCTTTGTCTCTTCATGTATATTATGATGCTGGATGGGCTGATGATGCAGACACTCGACATTCCACTACTGGCTTCTTTATTTTTCTAGGTTCATCTCTCATCTCTTGGCGTAGTAAGAATAAAGCCGTTGCCTCTCGTTCTAGTACGGAGTCCAAGTACAGGGCGTTGGCAAACACCACAGTTGAGTTGAAATGGCTCCACACTCTTCTATGAGATCTTGATGTCTTTGTTACTTTTCCTATCACTTTAAACTGCGATAATCAGAGTGCCATCTCCATTTCTACAAATCCGGTATTTCATGAGCGTACCAAACATATTGAGGTGGATAGTCATGTAGTTCGATAGGAGCATGTTGCTGAAAACATTACACTCTCATATGTTCCCTCTAAGGAACAAGTGGCAGATTTATTTATCAAGGCTTAAACTAGTTCTGTGTTTTGCTATTTCTTGTCAAAACTCTCGGTGTTCGATCCACCGTGAGTTTGAAGGGGGTGTTAAAAAATATCATACCAGCCACCCTATAGCTGTCTCAACCACCTCCTAGCCGCCTCAACCGCCTCCTAGTGTGTAGCCGCCACCGCCTCCTAGTGTTTACTTATTGTGTGTATATATATCTTGTATATCTTTTAATCTTATTATCAAGTGTGAAGTCCTCTTCGATACAAACTTAACAATGTCGACATAGAGCAAGGTGGAGACGAGGACGAGGGTTGTGAACTATTTGTCCTTGAAGAGACTACAGAAAGAAGCGGTTTCCTGACGAGGGGCCACCGAGTGAGTGAGCCATGGGAGGCGGAGCATAGGACGAGGCGAAGGAGAGTGGCGGCAGTGGGCGGATTGGCATAGGAGCTCCACCGCTGGCAGATGGCGGTGAAGCGGAACCTAGCCGGAGAGGGGAGGCGCTTGAGGATGATCTCAAGGAGAGGATCCGGGAGGTCCGACCATGGACTGTGGGGGATGGCCGGGGTTTCCATTGAGAATCTTAGAGGAGATGATAAAAGAGGATGCTGATGATGATGATTTGCGATTTTCTTGGATATTTGTCCTGGGAGAAGGGCCGGTATACTCATGGTTTGTTTAGGAGTTTAGTAAGTGAAGGGACAAAAAGTTAGATAAAGGAGAGGAGGGGCAGGGAATGGAAGTGAAAAAGATAAAATGTTTTTTGGAAATTTAGTAAGGGAGAATGAAAGTAATTTTTTTTTACCTTGTTTGGAAGTTCTAATGAAGAGGAGGGAAATGAAGTGAATATGTATAAAGTTACATAATTACCCTTACATATTGGATGTGAGTATACCTTAGCCATTGATTTTAATGTCATAAGGGTATAATTGTTTTATCACATTATAAAATTTTTTTCCATTCCATCCTCTACCCCCAAATTGGAGGGGAGGAAAATGGAAGGAAATTTGACCTTCCATTCCATCATTTAACCCCTCAAAAAAACTCCCAAATAAGGTGAAATTAAAATTTCACTTTAACTTCCATCCATTAATCTCCATCCAAACAAGGTGTCAATGTTAAAACGGTAGAAGAGAAAGACTTTTCCATATTAGTCCCTTGCATCTTTCAAATTTTGAAATCAATTCCTCATATAATTGAAATTGTTAGTACGACTCTTAATTCTTAAGTCGTCTTGAATATTTGTACCTCAAATCATTAAAATTCCTATTAGTTCCCTTAATATTTAAGCTATTTTTAAATTAGTCCCTATAATCAATATTAGAACTAGCCAATGGAGGCATTATTACGAAGTAAAAGCTATTGTTGTCGCGCATCAGGTCTCCCCATTATCACAATATATTTGAAATTACCCCCCTGTTTGCTATTTATACTATTGGTTCGAGGGAGTAATTTCAAAATAAGTTAAAAATTTAGAGATCCCATATCACTCAATTATATGAGGGATTAACCATATCATTCAATTATACGAGGGAATAACCATATCATTCAATTATATGAGGGATTAATTTAAAAATATGACAGATTTAAGGGACTAATATAAAAAAAACTCTTCAAATGAATATCAAGTTTGTGGGTCTAATTCGTAAATATGAAGATTTGAGAGTCATAGAATTAATAAAGATTTGAGGAATCCAATATAACCCAATATTTGTGCGAGGAAATTTTATAATGTAAATTCAAGATCATCTTTTCTAGTCAATTTCATGAGATTCATGCGAGAGATAAAACATTAACAATTGGATTACAATTGGTTTAATCTATATCGAGGATTGGCCCTTTTTTCCTGCACTGAAAAAAATTCCTTCTAAACCAGTTTTTTTCACTTTTATTTTCTTTTGGTTGCGGTTGGGTTTTTTTTTTTGGTGGGGTGGGGGTGGGCTCTCTTACCAAAAAAAAAAAAAAAAGAAAAAAGAAAAAAAGAACGTAAATACTAATTTACTACATCTGAAAGACCTTGAGTTGTGTTCTTCCACTTCCATAATAGCCGAAAGAAAAAAAGCAAAATTTTACATACTAGAAGCTCTACAAACGCTCAAACGCCAGCATCACAAAAACCCAATTGGAGACATTCAGCGACTACAAATCCAGTTAACAGCTGAGTAAAAGAAAGAGACCATGTCAGTTTCAGGGCCGCATAAACTAAGTTCTTAAATCAAGAAAAAAGATAGAAAATATTAACTAGACAGAAGCTAAGTCGATCATTATCTTTTATGTGCTTAACAGGCCAATTAAATGCAATCATAATAAGTATCACTATCCTCACAAAAATTATAATTTGAAACGAGATATGGAACTCAATACTATTAACGACAGGATTCTCACATATGCTCCACCCTTCATTTATTGCATAGCCTATGGAGAAGCTCACGTGTGATCCCTCAAACTCTGCTCTCTATCGTATAATCGTAATTACAGAGCTGCATGCAGGTAGAAGTTTAGAGAAAGAAGTCAATAGATGACTGTAGTGCGCTCAAGATCGACCCGAGCTGCACAGAAGCACTTCTGAGGCTAGCAGGATCATACGTGACATAAGTTTTTATCCCGTGTAGTTATGTTGGTTCGTTGATAATGTGACGCTATATATATTGGGTCAGTGAGGGACGATGAGGTTCTGAGGTGGCTGAGGTGCAAAAGTTAAAAAAAAAAATATTAGTGATCATAGATTAAAGGGGTTTTGCTGAATTTTTAAGACGCGGAGATTGTTGAAAACACAGGGCATATATGAAAGGTGATATCAAAATTACCACAAAAGGGCAAATAATAAGCAATATTGAGTTGATCATCTGGAAAAGCATGACGATATACAAAATATATTCACATAAAATTTATTCTTAAGCATCCCATTTTGCAGCGAATACATGTATTCACCATGACTAGTTCCTCAAGTAAAATAATAACTATCAAAGATGAAACCATAATAGGATTAAGCTAATTAGACCCACAACACTCTGTAAAGCAACATTATCTATATGTGCGATGACATGATTTGATTGCAATCGTAGATGTATATATTGCCATGAAATGAATTGCCTAAAGAATGCATTCCAAATGAGAATTGAAAAACTGAAACAATAATCAACCGGAAAAGAACACAACCTTGAATCCCAAGACCAACTACGTAAGCCGAGCAGCATTATCAGCCGTAAATATTTCTCAGTACAGAAGCATTTGGAAGCAACAAACATTTCATCCTTCCAGTAACTAAATCAAACACCTTCCGTGATGTCTCTCAGGTAACTCCCTCAAATTTGAATCACGTTGAAAGATAAATGCAGTTCCCTCTAGATCCAACATTAGAAGCCAACGGAGAAACAAAACAAATATAATGACGCATGAGCACTCGATCACCAATGCTCTCCAACTTGACGCACATCTTTCTTCAGGGATCAGCTCTAGACTCTTCAAACCCAACATCTGCTCTTCTTAGACTCAGCGCAACAATGTCCTCGGCAAGCAAAGGCTAATCATCAAGTTCCACAAAATACGAAAAGTGTGAACGTGGGGCGTGGGTGGGGGCCACACCCACGTGAGGAGATAAGGACGTGTGAGGGTCTTGTGCGGTTTTGAGCCTGTATTTACAACCGATATGAGGAGATAAGGACGTGTGAGATTGATTAACTCTTGAGAGCCTATAAATACCTATTTTTCTCCTAGGGTTTTGTGTGCAAGGCAGAGGGGAAAACCACGTTTGATTGGGCGACGTGCAAGTGCGGAGAAAAACAGCAGATTGTTTTTTTTGGCTGTATTTTGGGAAGAAGTACAAAGGTGTCGGCTATTTTAAGAGGAGATATTTGTGAGAGATTTGAGAGCTTGTTTAAGGATTTAATTTGTGTGATTGTAAACCCTATTTGTATTCTCTCTCTCTCTAATAGTAGATCTCCCCTCCTTGCCCCATGGATGTAGGCAACTTGCCGAACCATGTAAAATTCGTTGTCTTGCTGTGATTTGTAATAGCTTGTTTAGGTTCGCTCGACAAGTCAGTCCTAGAACTGATATGAGAAAGAAGTGTATATCCCACTTTGTTGAGATATATCACTTTCGATTCTTATTTCCTTTATGAAACATGGATTTAGTTGAGATCTACTCTCTTGTTGTGCACTAGAAGAGTAGAAGTGCTGCCGAAATTTCCACTGCGTACAACAAGTGGTATCAGAGCCTAGGTTTTGACTTGGGGCTTGTTCAAAGGATTCGCTGAAGGATTCTTATTTGAAGAGTTAGATCTACAATATGAGTGAAACAAGCACATCGGGATCGTATCTTACGAAGGCGATACAGAGTCTAGGCATTAATAATACAAAGATTGATATTTTAAAGTTCGACGGTAAGATCAATTTTAGTTTGTGGAGATGCCAGGTGATGGATGCGTTGGACGCACAGAATTTGGAGGAGACTCTTGAGTTACAAGGGAAACCTAATGATATGGAGGATAAGGTTTGGAAGAAGTTGAACAGTAGGGCTTGTAGATGTTGGCCTTCTTGTTTTGATGATGTTTAACAAATAATTTACTTCTAATGTTGTTTGTCTAGTGTTTATGTTTTCGTATTTATTCCAGACAAACAACGTGTTGGAGGATGGATGAAATCGAGCTTCAACGATCATATCAAATGGAGGTTGGCGGATATAGTGGTTGAAGCAATGCAATTTAAGTTCAAGATCCAAGTTCAAGCTTCATCCGCAAGATTACCAAGTCAAGCTATTGAAGGTCAAGATCAAGCTTGGGTAATTTAGTTTAGGTTTTATATTATGTGTGT